GGGGTGGGGCCAAAGTGGGCGGGGCGGTCAAGAGGACGTGGACTGGTCCCTGGGGCGCCCTCAGAGAAGGACTGCAGAAAGGGGCGACCTCTGCAGGCCCTGGGTCCGTGCTGCTTTGGGAAAGTCTATGGTAGACCGCCTGAAAGAGGCACAAGTTCATTTCGAACCTACCCCTCCACCAAACCAGAGTGACAGAAATGCCGCCAGTTACCTTCTCTCCGATCCCTCACTGGCCACCAGGTGACACTGTTCCCTAAACCTAAAGGAGGCAACGTGTGCTGGGCTCAAAGGTTGAGCATGGACCTTTGGACCAAGGGCTTGCCAGCTCGATTCCCAGTCAGGGTACATGCTGGGGTTGCGGGCTCCATCCCCACTGGGGGGCATGCAAGAGGCAGCTGATTGGTGTTTCTCTCCATCCCTCTCCCTTCCTCTCTCTGAAATCAATAAAAATATATTTTTAAAAATGAGCATTGGCTCGCATTGCTCAGTGTTTAGAGCGTTCCTGGTCAAGGGCACATACCTGGGTTGCAGGTTTGATCTCTGGCCCAGATCCAGGCGCGTGTGGTAGGCAACCAATCAATGTGCCTCTCTCACATAGAAGTTTCTCTCTCTCCTCTCTCTCCCCTCCCAAGCTCCTTTCCGCTCTCAATGGAAAAAAAATATCCTCAGATGAGGCCTAAAAATAATAATAATAAAATAAAAATCAGCAGAGATATCTTGGCTATCAGGATGCCCCCTAAGGACCAAGGGATCCCAGCCCTACATCAGAATCCCCAGCAAAGTCTTCCAGGGCTGGGAAGACAAGTCCCCAGAACTTCTGACTATAAAAACCAGTGGGGATTGTGGCTAGGACAGAGGGCTCTGGAGTTCCAGGCATTCTTCTTCTTTTTTAGAATGAATATATTTTTACTGATTTTGAAATATGGTAGCAATCATCTCAGGTAGAAACTATAGTTTAACTTTAACCCTGCTGTTTGGCTTCTGTACTTATTTCCTTGGTTTAACAATAGAAAAGTTATTTTGATTTTCTGAATTATATAAATCATCCCATTTGATTGAATACCCTATTGATTGTACTGTGAATATTCCATTGGCCGTGGTCACACTGATCTTAGAAAGCACATTTTCCTTTACCTGGGAAGGACAGCACAATTATCCCAAGGTCAGAGGGCTCCAGTTAACGTGTCCCTGTTGACTCAGTGATCCGGAGACACAAAAACTGTAATTTAGATAACATGCTGCTTTGCTTCTGTAAACTGCTTTTTTGCAAATCAGGTTCCTCATTCCAAACCCTGGGATGTAATCAATACCTTTGTGATTTTTGCCTATATAAATCTGGTGTTTCTGCCATCTTATCACTATGAGATCTGGGAGAGTGAAATGCCCCCTCATAGTCCCGAATTTGCAATAAATGTGACTCTTTAATTCAACTTCTTGAGGTGTCCTTGTGTGATTCGTGGGGTACATTACAACAATTTCAGAGGGGCCAAAGTGGGCGGGGCGGTCAAGAGGACGTGGACTGGTCCCTGGGGCGCCCTCAGAGAAGGACTGCAGAAAGGGGCGACCTCTGCAGGCCCTGGGTCCGTGCTGCTTTGGGAAAGTCTATGGTAGACCGCCTGAAAGAGGCACAAGTTCATTTCGAACCTACCCCTCCACCAAACCAGAGTGACAGAAATGCCGCCAGTTACCTTCTCTCCGATCCCTCACTGGCCACCAGGTGACACTGTTCCCTAAACCTAAAGGAGGCAACGTGTGCTGGGCTCAAAGGTTGAGCATGGACCTTTGGACCAAGGGCTTGCCAGCTCGATTCCCAGTCAGGGTACATGCTGGGGTTGCGGGCTCCATCCCCACTGGGGGGCATGCAAGAGGCAGCTGATTGGTGTTTCTCTCCATCCCTCTCCCTTCCTCTCTCTGAAATCAATAAAAATATATTTTTAAAAATGAGCATTGGCTCGCATTGCTCAGTGTTTAGAGCGTTCCTGGTCAAGGGCACATACCTGGGTTGCAGGTTTGATCTCTGGCCCAGATCCAGGCGCGTGTGGTAGGCAACCAATCAATGTGCCTCTCTCACATAGAAGTTTCTCTCTCTCCTCTCTCTCCCCTCCCAAGCTCCTTTCCGCTCTCAATGGAAAAAAAATATCCTCAGATGAGGCCTAAAAATAATAATAATAAAATAAAAATCAGCAGAGATATCTTGGCTATCAGGATGCCCCCTAAGGACCAAGGGATCCCAGCCCTACATCAGAATCCCCAGCAAAGTCTTCCAGGGCTGGGAAGACAAGTCCCCAGAACTTCTGACTATAAAAACCAGTGGGGATTGTGGCTAGGACAGAGGGCTCTGGAGTTCCAGGCATTCTTCTTCTTTTTTAGAATGAATATATTTTTACTGATTTTGAAATATGGTAGCAATCATCTCAGGTAGAAACTATAGTTTAACTTTAACCCTGCTGTTTGGCTTCTGTACTTATTTCCTTGGTTTAACAATAGAAATATTTTGATTATTTTCTGAATTATATAAATCATCCCATTTGATTGAATACCCTATTGATTGTACTGTGAATATTCCATTGGCCGTGGTCACACTGATCTTAGAAAGCACATTTTCCTTTACCTGGGAAGGACAGCACAATTATCCCAAGGTCAGAGGGCTCCAGTTAACGTGTCCCTGTTGACTCAGTGATCCGGAGACACAAAAACTGTAATTTAGATAACATGCTGCTTTGCTTCTGTAAACTGCTTTTTTGCAAATCAGGTTCCTCATTCCAAACCCTGGGATGTAATCAATACCTTTGTGATTTTTGCCTATATAAATCTGGTGTTTCTGCCATCTTATCACTATGAGATCTGGGAGAGTGAAATGCCCCCTCATAGTCCCGAATTTGCAATAAATGTGACTCTTTAATTCAACTTCTTGAGGTGTCCTTGTGTGATTCGTGGGGTACATTACAACAATTTCAGAGAGAGAGAGAGATAGAAGCATTAATGATGAGAATTATTGATTGGCTTTCTCCTGCACGCCCCCCTCACTGGGGACCGAGCCTGCAACTAGGGCATGTGCCCTGATGGGGAATTGGGAATTGAACCATGACCTCTTGGTTCATAGGTCTGACACTCAACCACTGAGCCACTCAGGCTGGGCCCAGGAGTTCCTCTTAAAGGGCTGGCCCATGGACTTACTTGGACTCTCTCCCTCTGAGGTCCAATGCTGGGGCAGCAGCTCAAAAGAGCCAGGGACATCCTGGGAAGAACGGAATTGTCTGGCTTCAAGGCAAAGGCTGAAGGGCAGCTTTTTCCCAGACAGACGTGCTGGCTGAGGCCATTGTTCTTTGCTGAGCCCTCCCCACAGAGCCAGCAGGCAAGCCATATCTGAGACTCTAACAACTTGGCTTACCCTGATAGCCCCATCCTGATGATTCCCTGAGACCCTGTCCCACCCAATTTCCATTGGCTTTTCCATGCAAATGGCCTCTCTTGCTTCATGCAACAACCCTGTTTAAGGCTCTCTGTCTTTGGAGAATACATACATATGTGGCTGATCCCCTAGTTTTAGAAAAATAGCTCAAGATATTTTTACTTCTGCACCACAAAACCATCATTATAGTGCCCATGAATTTTGGATTTTGTGCATCTCTGCATGTGCCATCTGAAAAAATAAAATGCCTTTCACAAGGTTTTATCTTTCCAGTGTTCAAAACCACTTAAACTGGGCCTACTGGCCTGGCTCACTGGTAACCCAGAGGTAACGGTTCAATTCCAATTCGATCCGGGTCAGGGCACATGCCCAGGTTTCGGGTTCGATCCCCAGTAGGGAGGCGTGCAGGAGGCAGCCAATCAATAATTCTCTTATCATTGATGTTTCTATCTTTCTCTCCTTTTCCCTTCCTCTCTGAAATCAATACAAATATATATATATATTTAAAATAATGTAAAATAAATGTACATAATAGCTTGTGATTTTCAACTTGCTGAAGTATGTAACAAGTTTATATAAATATTTTTAAATGATCGGTGGTTGACCAAAACATCCATTTGCTTCCAAAATGGCCCATTGGTCTTTCTCACTCTGATGAAGTACATTCAAAAGTATTGGGAGCACAAAGGAAAACAGAACAAAGGGCTGAATTTGGTTATATTTTTTGATTTGTGTGTGTTGTTTTTTTTTGTCGTTTTCTTTTTTAAAAGTGTCTCCAATTAAATTTCTTTTAGGCTTCAACTGCTTTGAGCCACTAAGCTTCAAAGTAAAATTGCTGACAGCCATTTAAAAAACCAATATGTACACAGACAATAGTGTGGTGAAGGCCTGGGGTGGGGGAGGGGATGGCCTAGAAAGGGTCAATGGGGGAAAAAAGGGTACATCTGTATAACTTTCAACAATAAGATACATTTTTTAAAAAATCAATGTTTACAAATGGTTCCTTATTTCTTATCATTTTAAATCTAAACTCTCCAATTTGGTTTATGGAGACTCAATTATGTGACCCTAACATACCCTTAACTTTCTAGAAGTCCTCATCATGCAGCTCTGCACTATTTGAGCATGTCTCCTCAGGCTGGAAGGTAATTCAAAATGTGTGAAGTATACTTTATCAGTAAGAAGAAATTGAGATCTAGGGCCTCATTCATAAAATAAAAGCAAAGCTTAGAGGTGAAGGGATTAAGATGTACAAATTGGTAGTTACAAAACAGTCAAGGGGATGTAAAGTACAGCATAGGGAATATAGTCAATAATACTGTGATAACTATGTATGGAAATATGGGGTGGGGGGAACACTTTGCATATATGCATAATCCATGGACACAGACAATAGTTTGGGGAAGACCTGGGGAGGGGGCAGGAGCAGGGGAGGGAGGGTCAATGGGGGAGAAAGAGGGGCATCAGTAAGGCTTTCAACAATAAAGATATATTTTTTTAAAAAAACAAAGCTTACTACAGTAGTCCCCTTTTGTCCATGGGGATACATTCCAAGACCCCCCAGTGGATGCCTGAAACCATGGATGGTACCAAACCCTATATATTCAGTACTGTTTTTTCACACACACACACACACACACACACACACACACACACACACACACACATATACATACCTATAACAAAATTTATCAATTAGGCAAAGAGATTAATAATAACTAATGAAATAGAACAATTATAACAATATACTATAACAAAAGTTATGTGAACGTGCTGCTCTCTCTCTCAGAATACCTTATTGTACGGAACTCGCCCTTCTTGTGAAGATGTGTGATCACAATGTCTGTGAGATGAGATGAAGTGAGGTACTCAGAATAGCATGCAATTTAAACATAGGAGTTGTTCATTTCTAGGATTTTTCATTTAATATTTTCTGACCACTGTTGATCACAGGAAACTGAAACTGCAGATAAGGGGGTACTACTGTATCGATGTCCCAGTGGGAATTCAAAAACAAGTCTTAAGCACACGTTCAGGAATGTGTACTGGTAAGAGTTAAGCAGAGTCCATTACTTAAGGAACTTGAGTGGGCAGGTTCCCAAAGCTCAGATAAGGTCAGTTAGGGCCCAAGGTGTATATGGGACTCTTAGCAATACGGAATCTCAGTCCATAGAACAAGAACACAAGGCCAACTCTAGGCCAGCAATTCAAAGTTGGGCAAGCACTTCTTATGTTTCTCCTGCTTAAGGTTAAGATTGTTCTTACAAATAAGATCAGGGTTAAGCCTATACATTGGATAAAGTTCAGGAGAGAAAGGGGCAGACCCAGCAGTGAAGAAAATAGGGTTGCAAAGGTTGAGAATCCAGTAGGACCTGACAAGGAAGCCAAGATGGTTGCTTTGTTACAAAAAGATTCCTAGGTGCTCTGGAAAACCCAATACATGTTGCATGGATAGGATTTTTATTAATAGTATCTCATCTATGATTGTAAAGTTACAGTTTGCTGTTGACAGATTTTTTACCATTGAGATGTTTATGGAAGAAAGTTTGAATTTGCTGCCAGGCATCTACCTGTGCCCCTGAATGAGCCTTTAGCTCACCTCCATAGTATATTGGTAGGCCCAATACTGCATGCACAGAGGCTCTACTAGGAGGAAAATAAGGTGGGTCGATACAGTGACCAGTTCCTGGGTAGTAGAGTATCTGGGGTCTGTCTTTCCCATGGGCTTGTAACCGTTCAGAGGCCATATAAGCATAGAATTCACTCTTCCAGCTATAATCATCCATGCCAACAATAAACAGGAAGGGTCCCTGGGCCTTTTCCAATGGAATAAGACTTTGGTGGTAAGGTTTTTCCAGTGGATTATTCCAAATATTCATAAAATTGAACAGGCCTGCCTCGGTGGTTGTATATTTCCCTAGGTCACTGCCGAGATCAGGAATAATCATATCCTTGTAATGCAGAGGAGCTATTGTGTTGGCCACACAGGAATTGATAACCACAGTGGCTGTGATGCCCTTCAAGAAAGAGGCCATTGAGAGACACAAGTCACCTCCTTTGGAGAATCCAAGAAGCCCAACACTAGGGCCTTTCACCTGATGAGGAGAGAGAGAGAATAAGCTTAGAATTCATAAGTAGAGGACATAAACAGTGATTCTATATTCTCTAGGCAGTTTTCTCAAATGTCACTTGCTTTCCTTCTTTATGCAACAATCTACAAGGTTCAAAAGTGTCTTCTAATAAGCAAATTAATTGATTTCCTAGTACACAGGCCTTCCACTAATATTTATGGGGTCTGGGTTAAGAATACACACAGAGAGCCATTCACCCTATACCTAAATATTTAAAAGTTAAATATCAAATGAACAAACTATTAAATAAAATATATTCTTTTCTCCTACCTTGATAATATGCCTCCATAACAATTTACAAGGTTCAAATTTAAAATCTTGGAACTCATTGGAGTTTTATACTGGAACATGAACATAGGGGAGAGCCAGGCCTGACCCCAACCCCTGGTCCCTGGCCCACCGCTCTTCTCTTCCACCCCTAGCTCCATCATGCAACTTGAGGGGCCTTTCACACATGTGTGAACAACCCAACCAATATGTTTAAAGCCTTGGTGTATTAACATTGAAAGACCCTGAGCCCTGGCCGGTTTGGCTCAGTGGTTAGAGCGTCAGCCTGCAGACTGAAGGGCCACAGGTTCTATTTTAGTCAAGGGCACATACCTTGATTGCAAGCTCAATCTCTGGCGCTGGTTGGGGGGCGTACAGGAGGCAACCAATCGATGTGCCTCTTTCACATTGATGTTTCTCTCTCTGTCTCTCCCCCTCCCTTCCACTCTCTCTAAAAATCAATGAAAAATTATCCTCGGCTGAGGATTAATAAAATAAAAAAAATTTAAAGCCTGGCTGGTGTGGTTCAGTGGTTGAGCACTGACCTATGAACCAGGAGGTCACTGTTTGATTCCCAGTGAGGGCACATGCCCTGGTTGCGGGCTCCATCCCCAGTGTGTGGCTAGGTGAGCAGGAGGCAGCCATTCAATGGTTCTCTTTCATCATTGATGTTTCTATCTCTCTCCCTCTCCCTTAAAAAAAAAAAAGACCCCAAGGAGAGGCATTGGGCCTGAAAGCAGAAACTGCAGTTTGGCAGAGAATTCTGGGGTTCAAGATCCCAAGGGCATAGTGAGCGAGGGGCCACATAGGTTCCTGGTGAACACATTCCCTTGGTCCCTTGGACTCCTTATCCTGTGGGCAGAGATGCACCAAAGAAAGGCCAGAGTGTGGTCATCTAAAACAAATGGTCCAAGGAAGAAGCCCCTTTTGCCTAGGTTTGAGGGCAGAACTAATAGTATATACTGTTCTCTTCTTTTTTTCTGAGGCCTTATGTCCCCTAAATAAACCAATCATCACAGTTCAAGATCATCTAGGTTTTAGCAGCTCTGCTAAAAGACCAGTCCATGAATTTTAGCAGAGTTAAATCATCCTACAGACCTTGTAGAATATCTTATTCCTTAACATTAAAATGTGTGGGTCTCTAAGTTCAGATAGTAGCAAAGAGTATCTATTCCATTTAGTTTCACTACCAAAATATTTTAATTCATTTTTTTCCACTATCAGATAAGAACTTTCTCTGCAAAACCCTAATACCATTATCACACTTAAAATGAATAATGATTCCTTAATATCATCAAATACAGTCCTCATTCAAATGTCACCAGTTGTCTCAAAGATGTCTCTCTTTCTAGTCAAACTTTTTCTTCTACACATTTACATTAATCTTATACATGAGAAAAACTGAATCCGAGAGGGCAACTGCCTTATTCAGGATCATAAGGCTCATTGGTAGTAGATATAAAACCAGAACTCAAGGTTAGTCACTTTTTAGTCCAGTTCTTTGAATTATGGTCAAGAATTAAAGGGTCAAATGTAATGAATGGTACAAATGTGAGGAAGGTCCTATTCCTTCTAGGAGTGTATCCATGAGTGGCAAAGATAAATAAAATGATTTAAAATGAAAAAAAAAAAGAATTAAAGGGAACGCCCTGGCGGGGGGGCGGGGGGATCAGTTGACTGGAGCATTGTCTCATACACCAAAAGGTTGCAGGTTCGATCCCTGGTCTGTGCGTGTACAGGAGGCAACTAATGGATGTTTCTCTCTCACATTAATGTTTTTCTCTCTCTCTTCCTCTCTCTAAAATCAATAAACATATCCTTGGGAGAGGATTTTTTTTAAAAAAGAATTAAAGGAAACTAAACAGTCAACTCTTACTCTTAAGGAATTAGAGAGAGATGGGTAGAAATGGAAATAATAATCCTTTTAAAAAAACTCCTGAAGGAGCCTTTGTGTCTCATGCCATACTTCCAGCCCCCAAGTGTCCTGGTGGGCCGTTTGGATCCAGCCCTGTGTCCGTTCTGCTTCTCCCCTGCATTCACAGGAGCACCAGAACCCACCTTTGGATGCTGCAGCATGAAGTCCACAGCTTCTTCAAAGTACTCCAAGTGCACAACATTCAGACTTTCTGGGAGATCTTCAAATCTGAAGTAAGCCAGAGCAAGCACAGCAAAACCATGTCCGGCCAGGAGGCTGGCCCTGTATTCACAAAGGCCACCACCACTTCCAAACAGATCAATGATCCCAGGAAAGGGCCCTGCACCTAGAGGGTACCACAAAACAAAAGGAGCTTTAGATTCTCTAAAGACATTCTTGGGTTTCAGATTTTGGCAATCAGGAAAGAAGTTTTTGAAACAAGGAAAGTTGAGGGTGTGGGGGTTGGTGGAAGAAGGATCCTTTTTAATTTAACTTAAATATATTATATTAATATACATACAGTTAGCTGGTCCTTCTTCACCTGGGGACATGCCTGAGCGCCAGGGCCTCAGGAAGTGCCATTACACTTGAAGAAAAACTTCCACCCAGAATCCACAACAGACTCGGGAGCGCGGGAACCAATTTTGGTCAGTGCCACCATCACGTGGTTCCCAGGCCAGGCAAGAGGTCAGTAGGGTCTCGCACTCCACCCAACTCTCCAGAATGGCCCAGAGTGGCCACGGGAGCTGGTCGCTCACCTGGCGGCAGGAAGAGCGTGGCGCGCACCCGGCCCGCGCGCACCGGCTCCCTCCGCACCCC